AAAGAGCATCAGAACGGATGGTCAACGAATGTTGAATCTCACCTTCTGTGGTCGTGATGGTGCAGTCACGAAAGTCCAAGAAGCGTTCACAGCGGCAAGCGTTCTGAACCCACTGATAGCCATTGGCAAATTGTTCCGAGCCGGTTGGCAACTCAAGAACGAAGAACAAGAAGGACTAACACTAACAGATGGTGAAGTTTGCATCCCTGTTCACTACCACAAGAACTCGTTGGCGGCGTACGCATACGTTCAGACACCCTCAAAGATCTACAAGAAGATGTCGAACGATATCTGCGTGATCAGAACGATTGTGCAGTTGAACAGCCACCTTCAAGGAGCCATTGACAAGCAAGAACCTGGATGGCACGATACAGACAGTTTGGTCATCGTGAAGCACTCCGAGAGACAGAAGAGATTTGAGAAATCATCATGTGTGTACAGCGCGAGAAATTTCCCTTTCAGAAGCACTCTGGTCAAAGAAGAAGAAGGCTGGAGAGTGATCGAAGTTTCGAAAAAGTATAACCAGAAGATGGATCCCTTTGAAGAGTTCGAAGGCGGGGAGCATGAGACCGTCACAGCGATTTCCACGAAACCCATTCCAATTTGGCTTTTGGGTACTCCTGTTTCGGCAGAAGAAAGAGCAGAACAAGAAAGCAACAGCAACGACTATTGGAGGATTGACAAAGGTGATTTGGTTCGGTACCACATGACACCGAGAACAGTCCTGTTCTACCCCATCGGCTTCAAGAAGTGTCCTGTTGAATTTTCAGACATTGAAGAGGAGAGACACACGTATGGAGAATGCGTGTATGCAACAGAGACCTATGAGAAAGAAGACAATTGGTTCACAGACTTTTCACCACTTGAAGAACCGTTCCATTTACTTTGGTGTGGACAGACAAGATTCAGAGTCAAGCCAGAAGCGTTACCTCAAGAAGTACCACAAGAAGAACGCCATGTTCCACGACAACGAGAAGATGTTTGCATGGAAGAAGAACAACCTTTGGCAGTCCAAGCAGAGCACCCTGAAGCACTAGAAGTGGTTGAAGAAAGCTTTGTTCATGAAGGCATCGAGTACAACTCCGAAAAGAGCAGTCTTCGTGAATTCAAGCACTAGCCAGACTTTATGGTGCAAAGACCTCAGGAAGCAAGAAGCAGATCCTGAAGAGACTGGCTGGCATTGTTCGAGAGGAAAGATTGGAAGTACAATTCCAAAAGAGCAGAGATGAGCATGATGCACAGATTATTCCCGTGAGAATTCCAAAAGAACCTTCACAGAAGAACGAGAAGCTCACTCGTTGACGCATTTACCATTTCAACCTTGGTGCGAGCATTGTGTGGCGATGAAGAGCAGAGAAGACCCTCACCGCTCAAGCGGGATGAAGCTCACATCGTCATCAGACAGTGCAAAGCCTTGGTTATCCTTTGATTTCTGCTATACAGCAACCACAGGAAGTGAAGAATCCCCAGCAGTGGCGTTGGTCCTCGTTGACAGCTGGACGAAAGCAGTTCTTGCAGTACCAGTTGAAAGGAGAGGAGGTCCAGACAACGTACGTCGTCTTGCTGAAGCAATTGTTCACTTTTCGACGCAACTTGGTTACAGCAGTATTTGCTTGAAAGCAGATAACGAAGGAACCTGCAGAGCAGTCAAAGAAAAGGTACAAAAGATCAGAAGCGGTCTTGGTTTGAGCACCGTTTTGGCCGACAGCATCCCCTATGACCACGAGTCCAATGGAGCAGCTGAAAGAGCAATTCAGACTGTCAGAAGACAAAGTAATACTCTCATGGATGAACTACGACCACGAACAGAACTTGCACTACCTCATAGTCACCCCATGATGAGTTGGTCATTCAGACACGCGTGTTGGCTACTCAATCGATTTTCCAGATCGAGCAGTACAGGAAAGACAGCCTACGAAGTGATCCACGGTTACCCGTACAGCGGGAAGTTACTAGCATTTGGCAGCACCGTGATGGCGAAGAGGCTGAAGCACAACAAGAAAGGAGATCGACTCTGGAATGCCGGAGTATTTGTCGGTAAGACAGATCAAGACACCTGGTTGATAGCCCAGGTAGATGGCATCCATATCACAAGAAGTGTGCGAGCACTACCAGAACAATATGACCCAAGGAGAGTCAGCAACGTGAGTACGCACACCTGGCAGATCAAGCAGTCCATGCTTGGTACAAGAGTTTTGCCAGAAAGCAAAAGAGCTAGAGCGAGACCTCAAGTCTTGCCTGCTATTGCTGAAGAAGAGCAACAGCGACTTGAAGATCAAAGAGAAGGAGATGATGGACCTGGTGATGAAGCCGGTTCCGATGCCACGAGCAGTGAAGAAGAAGAGGAGGAAAAGAAGAGCAAAGCCACCTCCAGAGATGAGGAAGAAGAAAGAGGCCACATGAGTGAAGCAGAGATTTTGGAAGATCAACCAGATCAAGAAGAATCAAAGACAAGATCTCTTTCAGTCGGAGATGACACTATGCTTTCCGACATGGTGGAAACTATGAAAGGAGCAAAAGTTCCAAGAGAAGTTTCAGCAGAAGTATTGAGATCGAGTTCGGTGAAGCATCCAACAGAATTTGAAGAAGTTGGTTCCCCAAGCAAGATTCCACGACACCGTCCTGAAGCTCCAAGATTTCAGCGTGGAAGTATCAACAGAGCAGAAGTATTTTCCAACATGCCTCATGATGATGAAGTGCGAAGAAGAAGAAGAGTTTTGGACATTTTCAGAGGATGAAGAAGAACCTGAAGTTGAGCCAGAGAAAAAGAAAGAAGCTACAAAGGTTCCACCATCGTTTTTCGATGAAGAAGCAGGACCACCAGAAGTTGATCCTGAATTTCTCCATGAGCTTGCTGATGAAGCTACAGAGAAAGAGACTCACAAAGATGGAGGTCATCGAGCTTGTTGCTACAGAAGAGGAAGAAAGCACAAGCAGAATTCCGTTTGCAGATACAGTCAAAGAGAAGTTCAAGCGGTTGACAACGAAGCTGGTAAAAGATTGGCGATTTCGAGAGAACACAGATTTTGTGCCAGATGGAAAGCTCAAGAATGGCACTGGACAACGTTGTTGGCAGAGACGCGCGCGCCTAGTTGCACGCGAATACAAAACAGAAGGAAAAAGAGAGGACGTCTTTAGTCCTGCGACGAGCCCAGGAATCACAAAGCTCATACCCATCCTAGCACTGATCAACAGTTGGTCAATCTACTCGTTGGACGTGAAGGACGCATTCCTTCAAGTACCTCAAAGAACGAGCTGTTTATGCAAAGTACCAGAAGGAGCTCATGTAGTCAGAGAAATGACAAAAGAAGAAAGAGAAGAAGCAGGAAGTCTCAGCAGTTTTTGCAGTTGGAAGCTAAGGAGAGCTCTCCCTGGTCAGCGTGACGCTGTGGACTAGTTCTCCCAACAAGCAGACCTCGCCCTAGTTGGGGAGAGGAGTCCAACCCTAATCCTATGTCCCAGAAGGGAGGGGCTTAGGGTACCAACAACTCGCTCTCCTGTTTTCAGCGGTGCTGCTCTGGGCAAAAGAGTGGAATGCTTCGTGGGAAAGGCTGGGCCATCACACCCCCTGTTGAGGTGAGATGAGGTTCCGAGGCGGGACCTTTGGAAGGCAAGTGGGCATTTCTGAGGGGCTACTCCACTTTGAGAGGCGGAATCCGGACGGATCCGGCTTTTGGCTAATATGCTTTGAGTGCGCAAGACAGTGGTGGGTGGGCAAAAAGCAGAAGGCTCCAGAGCTTCTACACCTAGAGAAGTGCCTTCTTTGCCTGGAAGCTGCAGAGCCCCCTGTGTGGTTCTGATGCTTCTTGCAGTTATTGGCTCTTTGGCGTTTTTTAGGAACCCTCTTGGTGTTACTTTTGGGCCCATGCCTTCTCAGTCCAAAAGCCCAGCCTTCTTCCAACCCTGCCCCTGGAATGTCTAGGATTGGAGTGGCACCGAGGACAGCAGTGACACATGCCCAGACGCCACAGCGTTCTTAGCACAAGAGCCTTTTGCACACGGCTTTGCGCCTGCGCAGGTCAGGCTGCCTTACCAGGTTAGACCGCTTGCAACAGCGCCTCCGCTGCCTTAGCCTATTAATAGCCCTAACCCGCCTGCCCTAATACGCCCATACTCTGGCCTAAGCCCAAGCCTCCGCTGCCACAGCACCTGCTGTTTGATGCTCTATGCTCCTGCTGCCCGCTGGCCCCAGATTGGCACAGCACCAAGTCTTCGCCGTGCCCATGCAGAGCTTCTGCTCCCGCTACCAAAATGCCGCCACAGCTTTGCATATGTCGGCACTGCAACGCGCCCACACGTGTTCGCCCTACAGCCCACAACCGCCGCTTATTCCATGTTATTGACTGGTGGTCTGCCGCCGATGCTGGTATTTGGCAGGCCAATGCCCAACTCGGATTGCTACTCCGACCTAAGTCTTCATCGAGCACCAGCACCGCTGCTGATTGTCCCTGAGGATGGGCCCCCCCCCTTTGGGCAAAGGGGGGCTTAAGCCCCCCTTTAAGCCCCCCTTAAGCCCCCCTTCAAAGGGGTCCCTGCAAAGGGGGTCCCTTCGGGGGGGGGGGGGGGAAAGGGTCAAAGCCCTTAAGCCCCCCCTTAAGCCCCCGTAAGCCCCCCCGGAAGCCCCCCCTGAAGCCCCCCCTTAAGCCCCCCCTTTAAGCCCCCCTTAAACCCCCCCCTTAAGCCCCCCCCTTAAAGCCCCCTTGAAGCCCCCCTTTAAGCCCGCCTTTAAGCCCCCCTTTAAGCCCCCCTTTAAGCCCCCTTTAAGCCCCCCCTTTAAGCCCCCCTTTAAGCCCCCCTTTAATGCGATTTATCTACGGTAAGTAGCTTAAAAACCAAACCCTCGGAGGGCTTGAGCTAAAGGCTACCCCCTACGCTGTATAGAAACCACTGCGCAACCGCAGCCCTTTTGAGGCTTCAAGCGAAGAGGCTTCAAGCGAAGAGAAAAGGAGTGTCCTACCCTGAGCCCAGTAGGACCCCTGAAACAGCCTCTGAGCTTTCGCATGGTAGCGGAGCTCTGCTGAGCCCAGGGCCAGCATCTCCGAGCGCCGCAGGTCTGGAGGACCTGCCTTTGCTGTCTGCGGGTAGCACCGCCCTGCAGGTACAAGCAACGGTCACCGGGGACCAGAAACCCGGGGAAAGCAGCACTAGGCTTTGAAGCTTAGTGCGGGTAGACCCGCCTAGAGGTCTAACCTTCGGCACCTGGGCCGACAAACCAGGACCACAGGCCGAGCCAACCGAGCCGGTCTTCACCTCTGGATTTGCCCAGCTCTGTGCGGGTAGATCCGCCCTAGTCTTGCAGCCACGTCCGACAGGGACTGGCACGACTGGGGTTGGAATCGGGACCAGTCTGGTTCCTGGTGGGACAACCACCAAGCCGAAGCTGACCAGCACTGGGACTGGCAGCAAGAGGTCTGGCAGCAAGAAAGCTGGACCGAAAACACAGGCCAAGCCGAGGACCCCTGGGCCGGCTGGTCAGGTGTGCATTCGTGGGTGGAGGCACACCCGGTGCCTGAACCCAGTGCACCTCCGCGTAGTCGCAGTCCGCGGCTTCGCAGCGAACCTGCAGCTTCCAGTGCGGGTAGACCCGCCAAACCAAGGGGAAAGCCCTGGTGGGAACGTCCCCCGCCCGAGTGGGTGTGGGACGAGAGCAACCAACGCTGGAAGCGCAAGAACCAGCGGGGAAAACGCTCACCTGAAAAGGTTGAGGAACGTATCCAGCGCGGACAAGAGCGACGAGCAGCCAGCTCGTCAGCAAAAGTCGCGCGGGTAGAACCGCCTCAGGAGGCGGAGACCTCGACTGAGCCAAGTGAGCCAGTCGTTCTCACCTCAGCGCCGGCAGCAGCCGAGCCAGCGGGTAGCCCCGCGGAGGAACGCTCAGAAGCCTCTGAGTCCGAATCCTCCTCCAGCTCGTCAGTCAGCACCATCGACTACGAGACTGGAAGTCTGCCCGTGCAGACTGAAGCGGCAGCAAGTGCAGCCGCAGAAAGAATTCGGGCCATTAAGCTCGAAGGGGATCCGGGCGAACCGGAAGGACCCCACGCCCCATCTCCAGATGAGCGAGGATCCGAACGAGGAACCCCTCGCAAGTGCGGCAGCCAAAGCCGCATCTGAGCTCCGAGACTCCTGGATCTCAGTGAAAGAGGAGGTTGACTATAGCCCCTCGGACACTCCAGGAGCGGGTAGCACCGCCGCAGCAGAAGCTGCGGAACACAGCCCGGAAGCGGGCAGCCCCGCCGCAGCCGAAGCTGCGGGACAAAGCTCCTGGGTGGAAGTCCAGGAAACAGCAGACTCCCTAGCTGGGAGCACGATCCCAAGCCCACGCCTCTCCGAAGATGGCGATGGCTGGGACGACACAGCTCACCGCTGAGGAGGTGAGCAGGCAGCTCACGGGACTCACTGAAGCCCTCCGAAGGGCAGAGGAGGCCCACCGTGGGTTGCAAGAGCAGCTGGCTCAAAGCCAGCACCGCACCCAACTGTTGGAGCAACAGCTCCTGGAACTCCAACAGGCGGGTAGCACCGCCGCGGGTGGCACCGCAGCCAGCAGAGCAGCGGCGGCCGCAGCGGTAGGTAGCGTTTCACCCCAAGGACTGTTAGGCTTAGCAGCACCGCTGAAAGGGGTAGACTTACTTAAACAAGCCATTAAGCCCCCCAAACCCTTAAAGGGAGTAGAAGATTGGGAGAGGTTTGTGTGGCAAGTTGAAACCTTTGCTGCACTCGTGGACGAAAGTTTTCCAGTGCACTTAGAGGAAGCCAGAAAGAGTCAAAGTGACAACACACCGACCGAAGAGAGCGACGAATACCGAGCTCTCTCAGTCAAACTGTTTGGGATGCTGGTATCGCTCATCGCTGAATGCCCAGCTGCATTGAAGATTGCGAGGGGCACGAGAAACCAAAATGGATTCGTCCTGTGGCAAATGCTGTGGCGAGAGTTTCATCCCGAGCAGGCCAACAGAGGTCTCATTTGGAGACGAGCCCTGCTTTCGCCGAAGTTTCCAAACAAAGAGGGCGACTTTAGTGCAGCTCTTCAAGAATGGGAGCTGGATCTCGCGAAGTATGAATCCGAGTTTGGAGCCGAAAAGGCCATCTCAGATGAAGACAAGCGAGCGCTACTGATGGTCGAATCGCCCCAGGCCCTGAAGCAGCACTTGGCAATGCATGCTTCGTCGCTAGGATCGTACGATGAGGTTCGGGCTGTGGTGGTCTCATACCTGCAAGCAAAGAGGGTGTGGACACCGTCCGGTGGTTATGCTCAGTCAAGCCGCCGAGCAGCTCCCGATCCCGATGCCATGGATATTGGCAAAGTCGGCGATGCCAAAGGCGATAAGGGGAAAGGAAAAGAAAAGAAGGGCAAAGGCAAAGAAAAAGACCCCAAAGGGGGGAACAGACCCGAGAAGGGTGGAAAGGGCCAAGACAAAAGAAACCAGCAGAAAGAAAAGGAGAAGTGCCCCATATGCTGGCGAACTGGGCACACAGTGAAAGACTGCTGGTACAATGTGAAAGGAAAAGGCAAAGGAACGCCAAAGGGCGGAGTAAACGCTGTTGCTGACGACGCTTCGTCACAGCTCTCAGCGGGTCCCTCCGCTTCCCAGGCGGGCAGCGCCGCGACTACGGCAAAACCTGGTGTGAGACACATCTCGGATGAGCCCATGCGAGCGCTAGCTGTGCGGAACAACGACCTCCGCAAAGGACACCTCCTGGTGGATACTGGTGCCGCTGTTTCCGTTTGCCGCCCGGGAACCTTTTCCAGCAAACTTGACCCGAAAGGACAAATGGCTCTGTACAGTGTGGACGACACACCGCTCAACACCCTAGGCGCCACGGAACCTGTGCTGCGACTAGGCGGGGACCACCGCCAGAATGCACGAACCACGTTTCAAGTGGTTGAAGGTATCACAGATGACATTCTGTCTGTGAACCGAGCGGTGGATGCTGGAGCGCGGGTTGTGTTCCACGCGTCAGGCTCGCACATTGAGTGGGCTGACGGCTCACGAGCCGATTTTGTCCGAAGTGGGAAGCAATTCCTCCTACCTTACGCTGAAATGGCCAAACCCAGCAAGCACGTGACCATAGCAGCCGTTGAGGATTTTCCCGACGACCTGGAAGCTCAAGCGGTCGAGGAATTCGCTATCGCTGAAGAACAGCGGGAGGCAGAAGCCGCGCAGGCCGAGGCAGCAGCTGCTGAAGCCAGTGAGGGTGAAGGCGAAGAACGCCAGGACCTTGAAGCGGTAGCCCCGCCAGCGGATCCCGAGCCGAACGAGGAAAGCGTGCCACGCGAGCCCACGGCCGAAGAGAAAGAGCGCCACAGACTCACTCACCTGCCATTCCAGAGCTGGTGTCCGGAATGCGTGCAGGGGGCCGGGCGAGGCGGGCACCACCGCAGAAAGAAAGACGCGGGAGAAGGCGCATTGGAAGCGACGGTCCAAATGGACTACACCTTCTACTCGCGAGGGGCGCAGCAAAGGCTCGCGCCGGAGAACGAGTCTGTTCTCGTCACGGTGCTGACGCTGGTTGACCGCGACACCGGCTGGCCGTGCAGCGTACAGGTGCCTAGAAAAGGTCAGGAGTGCGGACCATTTGTGTTGGACGCAATAGAGCTCTACCTGAACAATTTGGGACACAAAAGAGTGATCCTGCAAATTGACCAAGAAGGAGCGTTGAGAAACGTTGCTGTGGCTGTAAGAAACCGGATGGGGGCACACAAGGTTCGGGTGCGGGAGTCACCGCCGTACTCGCACCAGAGCCAGGGCGCCGTTGAAGGCGAACACCACCAACTCGCAGGTTTGGTACGCACATGGCTCATGGACCTCCAGAACCGGTACCCCAACTGCATGGTTGACGTCAATCATGTGGTGTTTCCCTGGCTAGTCAAGTACGCCGCTTGGTCTGCGGCGAGGTTTCAAGTGAGAACCGCCGACAAAATGACCGCGTACAAGATAGTCAATGGGGTAGAATACTTGAGCCCCATATGCAAATTTGGGGAAACAGTCATGGCAAAACTTCCGAAACCAGGCACCAAGGCGCAACGCCGTTGGATACGTGGGATATGGGTTGGTCGTCTGGAGCGCGACAACACCAACATTATACTCACGGAGGCTGGGGCATTGAGTGTGCGGTCTGTCCGCCGTTTACCACCAGACGCGCAAGCCAACAGAACCCTGATGGGGACCGTAGCTGGCGTGCCATGGGCACTGCGACAAGGAAGGACGTTGCGGCAAGCACCCGCCCTGCAGGCGGAACCTTTGGTGCTGCCAGCACCGCCACTCATGCAAGCCGAAACCGAAGGTGACCACGTGGAGCAAGAGGGCGCAGCGCAAATCCCCTCAATGGCCCACGATGGACCCGAAGAAAGAATGGACAGAGACGCGTTGGACGTTGAAGGCGCCGCAGCCGCGGAAAGCCTCGAACCACGCGAAGACATGGACGTTTTCGATGGCGACACCGGCGCGGGAGTTCTCGTCTCACCCGAAGAAACCGCTGAGGCCGAAGCTATTCGAAATGCAGCGCCATCGAGTCCCACAACGTCGGATGGCCCATCCGCAGAAAGCGCGGGAGCCGCCGCCGGATCACCTAGAGCACCAGCAGGGATGGCTTATCCCACGGGGCTGGGCGAAGGGGGGCTGGCGACCAAGCGTTCAGGCACAGCGCCACCTGCGGAAGAGACCAGGCCGCCAAAGCAACCCAAAGCCGAAGCCAAGAAGTCCCAACGTGTAGGCAAACTACAGGCGCAAGATCTGTGGAAAAAGGTGGAGGAATGGGCCAATGCGGACGACCCCGCTGTAGCGCAGCAGAGGCTCGCCACGGTGATGGAATACCTCGATTCCGTGCCCGACCCACAGCAGATCCAGAAAGCACGCGAAGAGCAACTTTGGAAGCTCTGGCGGCTGAACGCCTTCACACCGGTGATGCGATGGGACAAGCCGGCAGACGCCCAGACCTTCCACTACAAGTGGGTGGACAAGGTGAAAGACGGCGTGTGCAAAAGCAGGTTTACCTGCGCCGACACACGACGATCCTATACCCCAGAAATGGAGCAGGACATGCGTGTCTTTGTTCCTACCCCTACTCCTGAAGCACACGCCCTGCTCGAAATAACGGCTCTGCAAAGAGGCTGCGCCATGAGAACCTTCGACATCGTTGCTGCTTTCCTGATCGGCAAGGACCGAGGGGCGCAGAACGAAAACTGGGTCTACATGCGACCGCCAGCCGAGTGGAAGCCCATTTTCGACCAGTGGGTGCGGGAGCAACCGCCGTTTGAGCAGTCCAAGCTCAGAGGACAATTTGCTGACATGCTGTTCAGGCTCGATGGAAATCTGTATGGTCGAAGAACAGCTGGCTCCGTCTATCGAGACGAGCTGGAAGAGCTGTTATGCCACAAATTGTCACAGACCGGCCGGTATGCTTTCAAAAGAGGGGTAAAAGATCCATGTATCTATCGATGCATGAAGACAGGTATCATAGTGGTCCATCACATCGATGACGGAAGATGTGCGGGGAACGCCGCCCTGCTGAACACCTTCCTGGACGAGGATATGTGCAGCCACTGTGAAATCACCACCGGTCCTCTTGAGGCCGAAGGTGTATCGGTAGAAGTTTTGGGAAAAACCAAAACACGCTTAGAGGGCTGCATCCTAACAGCCCCAGACGGAAAGCATGCTCGAAACATCATCGAAGCACTCGGTCTGAAGCCCGGAGAGAAATCTCCAGTACCTTCTCGCAAACCCGATCTCTCGGACGTGACGCCGTTGAGTGCGGGGGATGCCGCCAAATACCGATCCGCTGTGGGGTCTGGAATTTTACCTTTCGGCCGACAGACGTGACATTCAGTACGCGGTGAAAGAGTTGGCGAGGCATATGGCCGAACCCAGACAGTGCGACATGCAACAAGCACGACTGCTGGGAAAATACCTGCAACAAGCGCCCGACCTTGTTCGAGTCACTGCACTCGACCCAAGCGCGTACGAAGGCCCCATGACGCTCGACGTCTTCAGTGACAGCGATTGGGGAGGGTGTGTTGAAACCCGGCGATCCACAGATTGTCATGTGGTGGTTCTGGGAGGAGCAATTGTCGCCACATCCACGCAGACCCAGCCGGGATTGCCTGCCACCAGCAGCCCTGACGCTGAGTTAAGAGGCATCAGCCGGGCCTGTCGCGAGGCCATCTTCGTACACGAACTGGCGACCATGGATTTTGGGCTGGAGGTGGAAATCCCACGCCTGTGGTCAGACAGCTCCACTGGCATCACAGCCGCAAAACGCATAGGGCCAGGAACCAAGCTACGCCATCTGGACGTGAGCGAATTCTACGTCCAAGGGGCAGCGCAGGCCGGGAAAGCGCTGTTGCGAAAAGTCAAAGGAACTGAGAATCCGGCGAATTTTCTCACCAAGCACCCAAAGTCCGGAAACGAAGTGCTACAAGCTTTACCTTCGTTGGGCATGGTGGACCCCAAACATGTTGCGGGCGCCACCGCCCAGGAGAAACACACGGTGAAGTTTGCGCGGGTGAATCCGCCTACGATCGAGCTGGAAACCCGTATTTCCGTTCAAGCCTACGCTCGCAATCGCGGGTATCACTATGGCTTCACAGATCTTAGGAGTGAAGGCCCAGCCAAGGGAGAAAGAACTCCTAGAGCTGGTGCTGGATGCCACTTTGTGGCTGGGAATCTTGGGATGGTTTGTTTTGCTCTACCACATGGTGAAGGGCACTGTGAGGGGAACTCTGGCTATATACAGGAGGGTGAACCGACACCGGCAACATGAAGAAGAGCCGGAACCGGAAGCGTCGGAGGACGAAGCTCCAACGCAGGCCGCGGAAAACGCGCCACCTCCACTCGAGGACTTGTTCCGAGAGGGAGTGCGGGCACCTCCGCCTCGGGACCTGCGACCCCCAGCTCCTGAGCCAGAACCTCCAGAGGTGGGCCAACAGGCAGCAGCTTCTGCCTTACCACCACAATCCGCACAGGGAAATCAGCAGCGACGAGCACGTCGAAGAACTAGACCACAGGTACCCCAGAGAGAACCAGGGGAGATCTACTATGCGTCTTGCCGAAGGACAGCACATGTATTCCGCAACTGCTCTGGGCTAAGTTCAACCCAGCAGCAAGACATCGTGGTCGAACAGTTCTGTGCCTACTGCCTGGAAAACTTTCCCAGACACCTCAGGCTCGAGAACGAACCTCGGGTATGGGTGACAGGGACGAATCTAAGGGCACATATCTTTCAGAATTGCCCTGAACTCCAAGGATGGCAGAGAGCGATTCCGATGTGCAATCACTGCAGTTTGAGACACATCTCGCGAGATCCCTGAGCGGTAGTCCCGCCAAGCGGGCACCACCGCTGGTCAGGATGACCAGCAAATCCAAACAAGGCACAACCCTCTGAGGTTGGAGGGGGGTGCGATTTATCTACGGTAAGTAGCTTAATTACCCAACACTCCGAGGGCTTGAGCTAAAGGCTACCCCCTACGCTGTATAGAAACCACTGCGCAACCGCAGCCCTTTTGAGGCTTCAAGCGAAGAGAAAAGGAGTGTCCTACCCTGAGCCCAGTAGGACCCCTGAAACAGCCTCTGAGCTTTCGCATTTAAACCCCCCCTTTAAGCCCCCCTTTAAGCCCCCCTTTAAAAAGCCCCCCTTTAAAAAGCCCCCTTAAAGCCCCCTTGAAGGCCCCCCCGTTTTAAGGGGCTTAAAGCCCCCCCTTTAAGCCCCTCCTTTTAAGCCCCCTTAAAGCCCCCCCTAAAGTTCCCCCCTGAAGCCGCAACCAAGCCCCCCCCTCTGTGGAGGGTTTAGGCAGCAGTTCAAGAGGCCTAATACTTGCTGGGCCTTGGGCAGCAAGTTAAGAGGCGTAATACTTGCTGGGCCTTCTGCGGAGGGTTTAGGCAGAAGTTTGAGAGGCCTAATATTTGCTGGGCCTTTTTTGGAGGGTTTGGGCAGCAGTTTAAGAGGCGTAATACTTGCTGGGCCTTCTGCGGAGGGTTTAGGCAGCAGTTTAAGAGGCCTGATACTTGCTGGGCCTTTTGTGGAGGGTTTGGGCAGCAGTTTAAAAGGCGTAATGGGTTCGGGCAGCAGTTTAAGACGTCTAAAAGGCTTAATACCTGCTGGGCCTTCGGTGGAGGATTTAGGCAGCAGTTTAAGAGGCCTAATGCGAGCATCGTGTTTGCAAATGGGGGGGGGCTGCGCCCCCCCCAACCCCCCCGCTTGTTTAAGCCGGGCAAACTCGCGTGGAAGCATAGGAATCATGTCCAAAACAAAACAAAACAAAACATGGGGTTCTCGGCTTAGCCCCGCGCCACGTCACTGCTATGCAAATGGGGGGGGGCTGCGCCCCCCCCAACCCCCCCGCTTTTTTTCTGCCGGGCAAGCTTGCGTGGAAGCATATGAATCATCTCTGAAACAAAACATGGGGTTCTCGGCTTAGCCCCGCGCCACGTCACTGCTATGAACTCTCTGCTCCTTGAAACTCGAGTAATGAACACAAAAAACAAAAGAAGAAGCGAGCGGGGTGGAATTGCCCTTAAGCTCCCCTTTAAAAAGAGTCTCACTTCTCTGGTTTCGAAGAATGAAACCCAAAAAACAAAACAAGATTCGAGGGGGGTGGAATTTAGAATACATTCCCTTCTTTCTTTTCGTAAAGGGAAATGAATGTTTAGAGTCTCACTTCTCTGGTTTCGAAGAATGAAATCCAAAAACAAACACAAAATGTATAACAAGATTCGAGGGGGGTGGAATTTAGAATACATTCCCTTCTTTCGTTCGTAAAGGGAAATGTATGTTTAGAGTCTCACTTCTCTGGTTTCGAATAATGAAATCCCAAAAAAACACAAAAATATAACAAGATTCGAGGGGGGAATAAATTCCTTTCTCTCTCTTTTAGAGTCTCACTTCTCTAGTTTCGAAGAACGAAATCCAAAAAACAAAACAAGATTCGAGGGGGGTGGAATTTAGAATAAATCCCTTCTCTCTCATCTTCAAGATAAAGTAATGTTTAGAATCGCCCTTAAGCCACTCTTTTTTCAGCCCCCTTAAGCCCTCCCCCTTAAGCCTCGCTAGCCCCCTTTTAAGCCCCCCTTTAAGCCCCCCCCTTTAAGCCCTTTAAGCCCCCTTCAAAGCCCTTGAAGCCCCTCTTTAAGCCCCCTTTTAAACCCCCCTTCCCCCCCGTTTGAGCCCTTTAAGCCCCCCTTTAAGCCCCCTTTAAGCCGCCCTTGAGCCCCCTTTAAGGCCCCCCTTAAGCCCCCCCTTAAGCCCCCCTTTAAGGCCCCCTTAAGCCCCCCCCTTAAGCCCCCCCCTTAAAGCCCCCTTGAACCCCCCCTTTAAGCCCCCTTTAAGCCCCCCTTTAAGCCCCCCTAACCCCCTTTAAGCCCCCCTTTAAGCTCCCTTTAAGCCCCCCCCTAAGCCCCCCCTTAAGCCCCCCTTAAGCCCCCCCTTAAGCCCCCCTTAAGCCCCCCCTTAAGCCCCCCCTTAAGCCCCCCCTTAAGCCCCCCCCTTTAAGCCCCCTTTAAGCCCCCTTTGAAGGGGCTTCAAAGGGTCTTCTCCAAAGCCCCCCCCTTTGCCCCCCCTTAAGCCCCCCTTTAAGCCCCCCCCTTAAGCCCCCCCTTAAGCCCCCCTTTAAGCAAACGTGATGGGCCCATCAAGTTGTCCCTGGACCCACCATTCTGACCCTTGCCTGCATGCAGGTACTTGCTCTTTTTCAAGCCAGTTACGTTGCTTCTTGACTGTCAGGCCAACACGCACATTCTGCCTGCTTCTCTCACACAACTTCAAGGCCGGCGCACCGCTATCGCATTACGCCTAAACAAGCCTTGCACAGCTGAAGCATCTCCGACTTACAGCTGGCCTTGACCTAACCCTAGGTCTACGCAGCAGGGCATGGAGATTTGCCTCTCCCACCTGTTTGCCGGAATACGCAGGGCTAAAGATGTGCATTGTCAGGCAGGATGGCAATACGCTCAAGGGCATTAATTTGGAAGAACATGGGTTCCAAGGCTTTCCTAAAGTTTGCCATCTCCGCTTCTGCGCAAATGCAATAGGCCAGAAAGTCGGCTGCAATGCTGTTAAGCTTATGCCTAAGATCGGTGTAGACCTGTTGAGCAAGGGCTAGATTGGCGCGTATTTTTCCTGCAGTTGGAAGACTGCATGCGTCTGGATTCCTCTGCCTGCATAAGAGTGCGGCGCTTTCCCTACTCGCAGCTCATTAACCGTCTAAAGGATGTTGAGTTGCTCCTCCGAGATAAAGCCCAGCAATTGGGCACGCCTGGTTCCAACACCATTCTGGCGCACATCATGCACTTGATGTCATGATTGGCGACCACAGACAGCCCGCTGGAGGATCGCGACCCAATTACCACTTCGTCACGGAGTTGTTGGAGCAAAAGATTTGTGGCCTCAACGCGGTCCCTGCCGACCTCCACACGCCAGCCACCTTGCCTGCGGCCCTTTTGCGGCAAACGGCCCAAAGTTCCGGCCCGTGGAAAAAGGGACAAGGCGAGATGCCCTCTTGGGGCAAGCCCCACCGTTCCTCTGGAGCGTCTGAGGTATTGTTCTCAGCGGTCTCGATGCTGGAATCGATTCTCTGTATAAGCATCGTCAAACCGAAGCAAACCGAGACAGTCATGCAGGCCGCCGGGCTGAAGGCCATTGTCGGACCGGCTGTCAACCTCTCGCTCTGTTCATCCATGCGCCTCCCTCCTGAGATTGCTGCCATTCTTCACGCATGTCGGTACTCGGAGGCGTGCCGCTTCGAGCTGATAGGCAGGGTCCCTCGGCTACGTATGCCACCAGGTTCCACGATGCAGCACCTGCTCGGGCGGCCACTGCGTAGCCTTGC